CCAATAATGTGGCTTGACAGCATAGAGCTAGGTTACTTGCTAATAGAAAAGCAAAATAAAAGAATTTTCAACTAAGGTAAATTCAGCTAGAACACAAATCTAAAGATAAAGAAATTTTTATCCGAAAATCTCAAAAGCAAAAGGAAAGTTCTTTGATAGGATAAACTTTTAAAAATGAGTTTAGAAGTATATAATACTAGAGTATATTAAAATATTGGAATAATCCATATATCAAGAAGAAATAGGCTTAAAAATGTTAGAAACACGATAATTGTATAAATACTTATGCATTAGATATGACGTATGTTAAATGGATTTAGCTTTAAATAGTCAAATTCATAAAGAAGCATGAATAATGAATTTGACTGAAGAAGATAAACATAAAAGCAAATTTGTGTAACGGTATATTAAGAAAAAACACGTTTAATAGCAAGATGAAAAGAGCTTACTTAAGTAAAAAATCGCCAGCTTGTAGATAACCTTGATTTTCTCTAAAATCATCAAGAATAGTCTGCGATATTATGGAAGATTCGCGGAGAAAATGAAGTAAGGTTATGAAACTATCCACTGCTTCGCAAGGAAGTAAGCGATTTTTTATATTTTTGAGACATTCAGCCATGCATCCAGAGTCTATAGAAGAAATTTTAAAGTAAAACAAACTTTAGACTTTGAGAATGCCATAAATATATGCTAGAATAATATGAATATAAGATCATACTATGAACATAGTGTATGACCACGGAGGAAATCGAATTTTGCGCGAGTGTAGAGAGCACAGCAACAGTAGAGTGGCGCCAATATTTATTATGAGGAGGACACCAGTCAGCGGCAGCACTAAAGAGATATCGAAGGGCATCTTTTCGAGCAATTTCCTCAGCCGCCTCATGGTGAAGGCAAATGCGTTGCAAAAGCTAAAGACAAATCGAAGTGAAACTAGATGAAAATGCCGATGATAAATCGTTTTATATGCCATGCATTCGCAAGTGTAATGGAAATACCTACATAAAGTTAAAAGGAAAAATGATTTTGGACGATCAAGCAATTCGAAAAAGACTTTTGAAATAGATCGTAACTGCTGAGATAAAAGCAACTCCAATGGCATAAATATTTTCTAAAAATATATGAAAAATTTGGTGATATAAATATGTATAGCTTTGATATAAAACAGATTGTTTTAAGCTTGATATAGCAATGTGATTATCAAATGGATATGAAATAAAATTTAATAGTTTAAAAATTTAAAAAGTTCTCCAATTTAAATTTTTCACTTTTTGGATTCATTAAGCATTCATATAACAAATACTCGCTTTAGTGAATCTATCAACTCAGAAGTGTAATTTTTCAAAGAAGCAACCAAAGGAACGAATCCACATCTGTAAACGTGGCAACAGAGATAATTAAACCAGTTACAGTTGAATATTTTAATATTTGAAGATTTACTTACATTTCTAAACGTAGCCTGAAAACGCAATCTGCACTGGCTAGATTCTGCATTTTCCTGAGGCGGAAGATCAAGGAAAATATATAGGCATTTAACAAGAGTTGAAGGCAAGCCTGCAGCGGCCATACACTCAATAAGAGTCTTTGGGCCTAAACTCATGATGTTCAAAGTGCTCAGTAAAAGCCATCCACGACTTTCTACATCTTGTCTATTACAGTCTGCCTGCGAGGTAGAAGAGATTAAATTTGGCGATTTAAGAGAAATATTTAATGACTCTGGCTTAGGTTCTAAAAATTCCGTTATTATTCGACTGCCTTCTTCTAGAAAAATAGCTAAATAAAAGTAAAACATATATGTACCAGAAGTCTGGTTTGCTGCACGTAATTTGATCTCTCGAACAGTTGTCTGAGAGACAATTGCACAAAATGAATGAATATCATTAAAGTTTTTTAGCATCTCTAAAGGTTCTGATGAATCAAAAACCTGCAAAAATGGTGCATAGCCAAACAAATGCAATAATCTAACCTTATAAAATATTGGTAGAATGCCAAAAAGCATGCGATCTTGTTCATTTTGACCTCTAGCCCGTTTGCACTCAGAATAAAGCTTATTCATGTAAGAAATGGATAAATTAAAGTCTTCCTGAGCATCATGACTCTTTAACTGGAGCCGGTTGGGTGATATTAAACGTCTCATTACAGAGTTATTATAAACCCATTTAAAAGACTATATAAGGAATGTCTGACTTATGAATAATCAGATTATTTCACTTAACGTGTCCTTAAAAGTAATGACCTGCTACTTCCTCTGCAAATGCATTACTGTTAATTTCAGTCTTATAAACATA